TTTAATGGGGAGAAAAAAATGCATGTTTAACCCTACAGGATAATGGCATTAGAAGTAATCTGTTCTTTCCCTTAGGCCACATCCTTCATCAGCTAAAGGTCCTCCCAAACTGTATCTCAGTGTCCAGCACTATCTGCCTAATGCTTCGACACGGTTCTCTAAAACTCAATTTTGTCACAGCTCAAATCAAACTAATCCAGTTACAGAAATTACCTCTTATTTATCTTGTGGTTGTCAGTTTCTTTTAGAGCTACTTTTAATAACTTCCATCATGGCTCAGATTTCCATTAATTAAGCCATATCATTTGGCAAGTTGTCTGCAACTAAATTTCTTTGCTGCATTGGACAGAACAACTTTAGGCTACCTGCTGTAGAGTCAGGCCTCCAGAGGTGGATTTATCCACAGCTGTGCCCTTCCCTCTCAGCTGGTCCCACTGAACACAACCACAGCACCTGTGGTATTGTATATCCAACTCCAGGCGTGTGTGTGCAGAACCTGAGAATTCTGATAACACTTTGTATCAAATACACATTGTTTCTTGTACTTCAAGTACAACAAAATTGAGATTCTGCTGAAGACGTGGGTGGCAGTATATCAGGTGCATGAGATAAATGTCAGATTAGCTGACAGTTGCATGCAGTTTAACACATTTAATACACTAATTTAGATTTAATGTGCATATCAGAGCACTCTATAATATTGGCACAGGAAATTGTTTGTCAGAAGAAGACATACAGAACTAACTAGCCACTGATTAAAGAGGCATCAAAGGGTTGTTTTCTAAAACAAAGAATTACTGATGGTTTGATAATTTGTCTGACATTACCCTTTCCAATTCTGGCTAATATTTTATTTTTCTCACCGGTGCTGAGCAGTTGTAAAGCAAAACCATGCTGAAAGACCAAAAGTGCCTCACGGGTTTGTGAATTACATCCCTGCTGGTGGGTGAGTCCAAGTTGTGCCACATTAGTGCTCTCTGCTCAAGAAAACTGTGTTGGGACCTTTACCTCATCCTCCTGTCAGCAGTTACTCGTCAGCAATTACCAATTATTTGTCAGCAAGTAATCTAAGCTGGTAGCTTGAGCAGAAAACTAAAAGCAGGATCCATGGGGAAGAAATGCTGATTGAAATTTTTTTTTTTTTTTGGTATTATTATTACTATCATTAGATTTGCGGTTATTTGTCCATTTTCTTTGACATCTTAGTGCCTTTCCCCATTCCCCATCTCATCAAACTCTCCTAGCTGTTGCACAAAAGCTGTTCTGACCATGCAGAGCTGGGACTAGATGATCTTTAATCTCCCTTTAAACCCAAACCACTCAATTTTTCTATGATTCTGTCCTCTGGTCAACACAATTTAATGATGTCCGTCTTTAAATTATCTCATGGTCCTCACTGCTGGGCCAGTATATCAATGTATCAGCATCTCCAGTACATCAATGAAGAGAGAGATGGGACTTGACAGGAAAATGAATGTTGCAGGGGGTGTCAAAATATGCATCCTGCCATGGAGTAAAAGTGCCTTTGCCTGCTGCAACTTGTGTTTCCAGATGTCCTCAAAAATTCTTCCTTGCTCATGTGTCCTCATCTTCCAAGAGGCTCTGAGGTCCCCACAGGGGATCTATTTAAAGTTCCACCATGGAATACTGACCACCAGTTTTTATCAGCTTCCTGATATTTCAGCTGTCAGTGAACATTGTGGCTGGTTATTATTTTCTTCTGTGAGTCCCAAAGTAGAAACGTTGCAGGCAGTTGTCCCAGTAGGCTATCATCATATTTTGGGATGAGTCACTAAACACTTATATTTTCTTGTGCCCAGAACAAGAAAATCAACCTTGGGTTTGTCATAACATTTCAAATGCTGACTGTTGTTTTGGGTGTGGACATCCTTTGTTTACAGGTTACCCAAATATCTCCTACAAGACTCTGCTCTGCCTTTGAGAAAAAAAAAAAAAACAACAGTTTTTTGAACCAAACTGCTCACAAAAGTACCACCAAACAGATGATTTGAAGTATAGATGTAAAGCTATCTCAAGATCACACAGCAGAGCTGTACTGGGACTTGTAAAAAGCCAATGGACTCAAATGTTCTCTCCCTTATAAGGCTGTTGTGACTCTAAAATATCCCCCCCCTCCATCAGGCTCTTTAATTGTCTCTTCTAACATAGGGGTTTAGTCAAAATCAGTTTCCAAAGTAATTTTTATTTAATGAAAAGCTGATAGGAACATCATCAGCCTTCTAATTGAGTGAAACTTCTCCATTACACAGCAGAGGGATTTGTGCTGAGTTCTGAAAGTGACAAGAAAACACAAAAAACCATCATTAATATGTCGACTCCTTTTTCACATTTTCTTCCCAGCCTTGGCAGTTTCTTGGCTTACTTCATCAGCATTGCTTTCTCAAACCTCCTCCACTTTCCTCTGAGGGAAAACTCATGTTTCTTTACTCTGTAGGAGCACATGTGCACTCCCTGGGACAGGGGCTGCACTACTTTGCCCCTTTTCCTACTTAGTGTAAGGTTTCACAGGTTTCTGGTCATGGAGTTGGATCCACAGCAGGTGTAAACTCAATTCATGTCACTGAACCCGTGATGGTTTGTGCCAACTGGAGATAAGGTTTCAGTCAGATTGGTGAACGGATTTTTCCAAATAGGGAAAGAAATGTGGAAAGTAAAATGAGCAAAACACTGCTTGTCCTTTTTTTTTTTTTTTTTTTTTTTTTTTTTTTTTTTTTTTTTGCGTTGGCTGTGCTTGGTTTTGTTTCATTTCACAAAGTCTTTCAGACCTAAATGCCATCAGCTGTAGTGAAAACGTCCTCCAGAAAACACGATGACAAATTGTTAAAACAGAGCTAAGAGCCATTCCTGTAATTGTGGTTACTATTGAATCTAACTCAATTTTAACCCAACTGACTGATGCACAAATTGGAATAACACAGATACAGAAAGGAAAATGTGACAAATGGATTAGTTTGTGCACTTTCTTGGTGATCTGTAGCTCTGGAAAGTTAGAGTACTTGTGGATGCAGACTGCACTGGTGAATTCAGTGATCTATCATATGAATAGGACACTGTATTCCCAAAATTGAATTTTCATCCCGTGTAGGGCTTCAGGCTGTTCTGTCACCTAAACAGTGAACAACCACAAATGTCTTTGCTATTTGAGTTTTTCCTGTAAACTTCCTTCTGTTTTGCATGTTTAGTCTGGAAAATGAGGAATTCTTTCTTGCAATATATTTATGATATCCTAAGATTATTTCAGGATCAGAAAAATAAAATGGATCCTAAATAAAATTTCTTAAATCCATTGTGACTCCATTAATCTGCCTTTATTTCTTTTTTCCTACATGCTGGTATAGTTATTTCTTTTGCTGCTTACTGCTGTGCTACAGATCTCAGAGCAGCTCTGCTGATTCCTTTCCTGACTGACTTAATCCTTGGTCTCACTTCTCTGCAGCTTTCTTCTATTTTAAGTCAGGGAATGGAGGAGAAGTGGGGGAGGGACAGGAAAATCATACAGTCTAACTTCTATAATTTTATGTTTTTACTGCTTGGAATGTATGATTCATGCACTTCCACATTTTGTCTTTTTTTTTTTTTTCCTAGAGAGACTGGCTTTAATGATCATAAATGACTGCAGCTAGGGAAAGAGCAGGGCCTTGCCAGCTCTCAACATTCCCAGCCAAATCTCCCTGCAATTGTTTAGATTTCTTTTCAACTGTATAAAGTTCCTAGGTAGGGTGGAGGGAGGAAAACAGAGGCCCTAAGGCCCAGGTTCCTACAGCAGCCTGGGGGAAGATTTTTTTTCTAAGGTAAAATTGCTTTTCCCAGCAGTTTGCCTTGCCATTATCTATCATTAGACTGGTTTTGTAGAACAGGAGAATAAAACGCATTCCAAATTTCTAAAAATCTCCTGTCTGGACCAACTGAGCTTTGCTACAAATGAACTAAATTCTGTGAGTGACAGCTGCTTTTTGGGGGATCTCAACTTTGGCTATTCACAAAGAAATAGGGTGTTGAAAACCATCCTGAGATTTCACTGAATCTCACTTTAGGATTTAACTTTATTCATTTATCAAAGAGGAACGTGGACCTTCAGGAATGAGGATGTCCTCTGTTAGCCAGGCTATGGACTTAATGAAACCCTAATGAGTCCACAATCATTCCAAACAGACTGAACTCACCTTATACATAAACACAAATGCTTGTTGGGGCCTCTTTTGTGGGAAGGGATACTCACAGTCACTCCCCTCTGCCTGTCTTTTGTTTGGAACTGCTCTTATGTGGGGACCAAAGAGTCGACACGAAGCCTCTGGGTTCAGTAAGGACAGAATGTCATTTATTTCTCTGAGTGCAGTTTCCTGAAAATTCTTCTAAATACGTCTTAGAAACCCCCATGAACAATTCAAGTTACTTGCAGTTTTTCGTTGTGTCCTTTTGAGAAAGGACAGGAGTCTTGCAAGAGTTCCAACATGCAACACAAAAAAAACCCCAAATAAACAAACAAGAAAACCTAAACAAACAAACAAAAAAACCAACAAAAACCCAAACCAAAACAAACAAAAACAAAAAGAAAACCAAAACCAAAAAAAAAATTTTAAAAAGAGGAAGAAAATACTGAGTGCCCTTCCTGTCTGGCCTTTTTTTATCCTCCTACCCTCACTTTACAAAGGGACATATGCTCTTATTTTCCTCAGGAAATGTAGTTTATAATCACTTTCTAAGTTTCATTCTTCCTACTTTCCTTAAGATGTATTTTGCACTAAAATCACCAGAATTTGACTCTGTGGAGTTCTTGTTTAATATTTCCTGTGAAATATTTGTTACCAAAAGAAAAGTCACCTGGTTTTAGATTTCTCTCTCTCCTCCCAGTAATACCAATGAAAATTCTTTTTCCTTCTATAGGTGCTCTGGAGGGAGCTGGACCTGCAGTGCATCTGGGTACATGCTCTATGGTGCTTTGACCTAATTCCACTTGCCAGGTGCATTCCCCTACTTACCACTCTAGCTGACCCTTTAAATTCCTCCAGTGTGCCAGATGTTCCGAAATTGTGTTCTCCCTGGGTGGATTTTAAGGCAGAGCTCTCCTTCCTCCCATGCTCAGCCACAGCTGTGAGCTGATGGAGCTGCTTCTCCCCACTGCTGTGAACTTTAATCGGGTTCTAAAGTTTCATTATCACAGTGATCCATTCTGGAAGATATTTCGCGTTCCCCAAGCCCCAGGCAAGTCCTAACAATCCTGTTTAATATTCTTTCAGGTTTTTTTTTTTTCTTTCCTCGTTTTTCTGCCTTTCTCTTTGATGCTGTTCTGCAGGTGCTGGAGAAATACAAGGCTCCAAGGTCTGCTGCAAGACTGCTGCAGTTTTTAGCTCTCAGCCACCATTCCAGGAGCCACTCTCCTTTTCATGGCCGACAGCTGGTCTTTTTCAGGAATCACTGGCTCACAGTCAGGGAACTCTGATCATATGCCTTGTAAGATTCTTAGTGGCTGACATAATTTGCCAAATGCCAGCTTTCCTTCACAGATTTTTCTGGTCTTTCCAGCTCCACAGATACTTGGCTGCCAGGTATAACTCCCCATCATTAAAATATAACTTTGGCCTCCCTCATCACACAAGAGGATGTAGATGGAAAGTGAAAAATAAAATTATTTTAATTTTTGGCTCTGTGCAGGACTTGTGTGCAAGTCATCCCCCTGAGATCTCCAATTTCTCATATGTGCTGTGCCAATGGCGCTGAACATTAATGAATGCATGCTAGCTAGTGAAAATGCAGTGATGAGAACTGTAACTGACCCTATCACTGCAATTATTGCCCATAATAATTAGTTTTAATATATGAATGCATTAGGAAGCATGACTGTTACTGCATTTGTTTCAGAGCATGGAAGAGCACCAGAATACTGTATGGATTCTGAGAGCAGTTGCCAAAGGACACAAGTCAATGGTTATTTCCTAAATGCCACAAATTCATCTGGATGACCCTGTATTAGGCAAAAAGTTAAAGTCCCTGTCCTTTCACAGTTTGAATCAGTAATTTTTTTAGGTAGAAAACAGAGGCCAGTTAGCGTAGGCAGTGAGGAGTCATTACTTCAAAGATATCCTAAATTTAGTCCTTGCTGCTGTGATGACTCATCCAGACATATTGCACTGCAGGAAGTAATGAAAAAGCATCAGAATAATGCAAAGTAATTCAGTACTCCTGTAACATCTCTCTGATTACATGTTTTCCCTAGCTCCTTGGCCTAGAGACTCCGACCTTGACTTCCTTATGTTTTCACTGGGTTTTTTACTTGCACCAAAATATTCAGGATGGTCTCAGTACCTTCCCAAGTAATCATCATGGTCTAAGCACACAATGAAGCACAAGAGCTCAGTGTAAAGAGCACACAGAGGATACCACAAGAGGTGGGAAAGGGTTCATGCTCACTCTGTAGGGCTTAAAAGTTCAAAGAAGGGGACATCATCTTATCATGGCTGAATTCAAATCAGCACTGACCACAGGAGTGGGTTTTCCATGGTTGCAGATGAGCAGCTGCTTCTGTGCACAGTTTGCTGCAATGAACAAAATTCCTCTGATGATCCTCAGAATGTTTAAGCCATTAACCATTTCAGTCTCTCACAGCATGAAACTAATTCTATAAAACTAAAATTTTGATGTTTTCTTTGGTGGAATCAAAGTGTTTAAAATCTTATCATTTCCAAATCCTTGTGTTAGAGTTGAAGGGGGAAGAAACCATCAGGATGTAATTTGCCTCATGTAACACCACCACTGCTGGTCCACTCAAGATTCAGATGAGGGTAAACCTGGGGCCTCCATTGTTGCATGCTTTGACTGGGGAATGTTCATTATGTAACTTCATTTCCTGACTTGGTAACCCAAGTTGCCCATGTAAACAGTGATCATGCCAGAAGTCCATTTAGAACCATGGAATTATGGAGTCATGGAATGGCTTGGGCTGGAAGGTACGACTCATTCAAAATATCTGCCATGGGCATGGACACCTTCCACTATCCCAAGTTGCTCCATCCAGCCTTGCCTTGGACACTGCCAGGACGGGGGCAGCCACAGTTTTTATGTGCCAGGGCCTCACTCCTCTTCAAGTGAAGCTTTTCTTCCAAACATCTGAGTACTGGAAGACCACGATGAGGTCTTAGAGTCATCTCTTCTCCAGGCTGAACTCCATCTCTGTGCAGTAAAACACAAAAATATGCACTAATTTATTTTAGTAGCAATCTGTGAAGGAAGAACAATAGTTCAGAAAATGCTCTTCATAATAATTACAAATACAATTGCAAGAAGTACAGGAATAATTGCTCTTGAGAACAAAAGAGTGACTCCAATCTTTAACCATACACAATAAAAGACTATTCATTGTTAAAGCTTCAGCATATTCCAGTTCAAACACCTAAAAATAACATCCCTTTCCTGGAAGAGAAGTATGAGCCTTGTGCATATAAGACCAGTTCTCATCTAAATATTGCTGAAGACTCCTTAAAATGACAATTCTGTAACAAAAGGGAAATTTGAGTAGCAAATTCAATCCTAACAATTCTGACATTAAATCTTCTGCTCTATTGTCACCAACAGTCAAATTCATTGCAATGTTCTTTGTTATACTTCAAGCTGAAGTAGCTGACCAGCTTTAAATGGGATGTTCTTGGCTTAAAAAAAAGGTTTATTTCCTCAACTAGACAGATTTGAATTAGTCAAAATTACTTGTTTCTGTGCAATGCACAGAATCATAGGATGTTTTAGGTTATAAAGAATTTCATGGGACCTCTAGTCTATAGAACTCATAGAGTTATAGAACCTCTCTAGAGCTCATAAAGACCTCAAGGTAGGGTCAACATTTAATTTAATTCAGTTCCTTGGGTCTTATTCCAGTTTGATGTTGAAAATTTCCAAGGACCAAGATTTCACAAACTCTTTGGGGCGCTTCCAATGTTTCCCTGTCCTTTGATGAGAAAGGACAAGGTTCTGACTATCAAGTCAGAACCTTGCCTGCTTATTTTATGACCATTGTCTGAAATGCATACACCATGCCCCTTCAGAAAGACCCTGATACCATCCTGATAAATTGCTCTATGTTTTTGGAATGCAGAGTTCAGTGTGGAAGATGGTACATTTCTGCATAAAGCCTTTAATAGTTTCAAAACAAAATGTTTTCATACTTCAAAATGTCATATTCTCACTAAAGAGATGGGGAAAAGAAAGGAAATTATACAGTTTGGGTCATGTGAAACATTTAATTTAGACCAAAACTGAGTGTTTTGTTTTGCTGTTTTTCTCTTGGACACTAAATTGAAAAAGTAGGTATTCAAAAACCTCTAGATAGCCTCTCCGTTTATGGTGATTTATGAACTGCTGGTGGAAAATCGGTAGAAGTTATTTTCTGTTAGCTAAATAGAAAAATACAACCTTCAATCTACAACTATGAAGAGCTGTAATTTGGAAAACACAACATGTGATAGAAATGGATTATGGTGCTGTTCCATTCAGATGCATGACTTCACTGTTTCTCTAAGCTCTGTCCTTTTAATGTGGATTTAATAACATCAGGCACCAGAAGGAACTAGGTCCTTCTCAAATTGAAGAACACACGACTTTTCCATAACTGAATCTTTTAATTGCTGAACAAGGAGCAAAGCCCTTCTCTGCTTTGGACTGGAAAGTGTTTTCATTTTATGTGTGCAATGACAGAACGTATAGACTTTGTGTCTGAGTGTAGGGATGGAAAGCAAATTCTGACATACTTTGAAGTTTATTGCAGTGGCACTGCAGAGGTTCCTCCTGTAACAGTGCAAAACTGTGATTCCATTTCCTCATACTCTTTCCAGAATAAAGGGATGATCACATTTTTCCTACAAATATATGTTTGGATCATAAAGTGGTTCATAAATGGCTTGTTTTTCATAACTGGGATTCTTTAGCTTAGAAAATCTGAGACATCCTGGCAAGTACAATAATGTCACAGGGAGCATAGTAGCCATTGACTATGGAAAAAGGTGAAACAAATTATAGCCTGGATTTTTAGGAAGTTGCTAGAAAGAGTACAAATGTTTGCCCCACTTTGCATGTTCCACTCAGCATTAATACTGGTGGGACCTGCAGGAAACAAAGTGGAAGAAATGGAGTGCCTAAATTGACTGAACCGATAACAACAGCAGCTGCTGATCAGCAGCAACAAAACGATCTCCAGTCTGGATGTACTCACTCACACAGAGGAGCAATGGAAGCAAAAGGCCTTTGTTTCCAAAATGGTGTGATGCCATGGGCAGACAGATATTTGGATTCTGGGAATCCCATGTATTGTAGATTCAGAATAGTGTTCCAGCAATAAATTTTGCCCAGCTGCTACTGTGGTTGTTGGAGCCTAAGACTGATTTTTGTAGTCCAAAATTAGATCTTGGATGACATAAGGAAAGATCATTGTAGAAAGTCTCTGGGGGCCCACTGCTTTTTATACTTTTACTTATCATTTGCTACCACCAAGTGTTAAAGTAAGGGGACGAATAATAAGAGACCTTTGACTTAACTCAGTGTGACCATTAAGATTTGCTTCCTCTGTATCCCCTCTTGTCTCAAAAGTGCCCTGCAATTCTTGTGTGCTGTGCAGTTTACAGAGGGTGTGACTGCTCTGCTCGTCAACAGGAAAGAAGAAGGGGTATGTTTGACAACTTGCACCAGTGGGGCACAATCCTGGCCTGCAAAATCTGTAGAATAAAGTTGATTCACATGCAGCGTGCAAGCTCTGGAGCCCAAAGTGGGTGTTATTTGAGTAGCACAGAAAACAGGGTTTTCTAAATACAGAAAGTGCCCCAAACATCACTATGTAGGGACAGCTGGCAGGACTATTGTCCTGGCCAGGGTTCTGTCTCCACTGATACTGTTCCAGCAGGGAAGAATCTGAGGCAGACCAATGCCTTCTGCACAGCTGCTCTACAGGACCAGTGCTTCCTCCTACCTACTGCAGCCTGAAGTGACTCACAAATTCCAGAAAAGGAAGCACTGTAATTGCTGCTGTGAAGTTCAAGGGCACACTAGCATTTTCCCCCATGTTTGGGTAAAAGGGAAAAATTCAGCTCAAATGCTTCTCACACTTGCAAGATTTCCAACGACTCAGCTCAGCAAGACAGATTTTCTTCCATGTTCAGTCATCTCTCTAACACCTCTCCAGAATTTTAGAAGTCAATGCGCCATATAGTACTCAGAAGATGGTTCACCTCTGTGAAGAAGTTTGAAGTGTCCTTTAACTCTCCTGTCACCCTTTAGTGTGGTGTGTACCCTGTGTGCTAAAAAAGCTGTTCTCTTTCCGGGTCTCCCACCCATCATCTCATCAGCTTCCAGCCCAGGAAATATTTGTTCATATCCTCCCTCTGTAAAAAAGGTCTTGGGTT